GTTATACATGCGCTGGCTGTGCCAGGACAGAACAGGACAGGACTGTGATATGATTTGCTAAATCTTTAATATGTGTTTAACAGACAGTGGAGCATCACATTAAAAAAAAGGTTTATACAAGTTAAGTGATTTTTTGATCATTTTCAGAGTAGCGGACCACTTCTACGTTTTGGCATTAGTTGTCCCATTACTGAATTTCCATCCAATTGCTGAATTTAATTGGCAGCCAAAGACACACCTACAGGGTTTTTTTTCACTAAGGTGAGAATTCTAAGTAAACTAAATCAGGTGACAGTGGAAGTCCTGTAGTTAATGACTTTTGGGTTAGGGTGACTAGGTTTCCCATTCATTGGTGATGACCATATACGATGAATCATGCAGACTGGCATTAATGAGGGTTTGAAATATGTGTGTCTCATTGGTTCCCCTGGTAAAAAAAAATAGCTCTTCTAATCCAGGTAGACATGCCAACCACATTTGTCCAGGGTGAAGATTAGATAAGCCATATTCGTATGCTAAAAGGTCTAAAAATTACCTAAAGCCCTACTCGTTTTGAATTTCGGAAGTATTCTAGATTTTAACCAATAACCACTGTACTCTCAGAATATCCTATTGCACTACTCATTCTGGTGCTTTACCAAACGGTAATTCTCAAAGTGACTTGTAATTTGTCCTACGCATTTCACATTTGTGGAGTTATTTTGTATTTGAAGTTAAAACTCAAAAGTCACAGTCATTACTGAAACGTTCAAGATAAAAACATTGAATCTCTATAAGGGCGCTCCAATTCCTTTTCATGTTTCAGGAGAAACATTTTAGCAATTCAATAAATAATACCTCTCTCGTAGACATGTGGTGTGTCCTACTAATATCACACTAGGCAGGCATTCTGGTACTTTAAGAAACTATTATTATCAAAAGGGATTTATATCCCTACGCATGTGATATTCAAAAACATCCTGCTATTTCAGTAAATATTAATGCTACTTGAGTGGCTCTCTAGCCCATCCTATTAATTTCACATTAAACAATGTTATTCTTCTTCTACTTTACATACACCTTGAATCCTGGGTTTTCTGTATAGTTTTTAATAAACATTTTCTTTCTTAACATTTACCCATATTCTACCATACTTGTTTTACTGTTACTATGCCAGTAGTCTGGATAAATACTGTATTTCATTCATTTCACAATCCCGGGAAAAAATTCTACAGTTATACTAATTGAGTATTTACTAAAAACTTTGGATTGTATCAAATTGCAATCAAAATGGCAGCAGCTAGGCTAAAGTACCTGAACTTGAAATATTCCCAACTCTGCTATAGTCCTAGCTTGTCCAATTTCAATCCAGATTGCTGCAATTCAAAGTTCAGTGAAGGAACTCATACACTGCTACTCTTAGATGGACGAATGGCGAGTTTTACCCTCAAAAATTTTATTATTCTGTTCCGTCAACAAACTGAACTTCAAAAATGTTTTTTTTTTTTAAATGCTTTGTCTGTATCAATGGATGCCAATCGGTGGAGTGTTGGAATAATTGCTGAATTCTCTTGCAAATCTATGGGTGATGTGCAAATCCATAATTGGCTTGATGTTTGTCCCGAGTCACGGTCCTTCTATTGCTCCTGTAATGTAACTCGTGATACCAGATCCTTTTGACTGTCTCACGGTGCTCAGAACTGGATCCGATGGAAAATTTGCTAACATACTGCACCTGGGCTAAATAACCTTGTATGACGTTCCTTCATTCCTTTACCATGATTGCTTCTCTGTTTAAGAGTTTGTACGATGTGTCAAACGTACTCTCCTTCCTCTGGGAAGATATCTGCACTGATATTTCTGAGCTTTTGGTTATTTTTTCCTTGTCCAGCCGCCGATAGCAGAAATGTTACAAAATTAAGCTGTGATTGAGAATAAAAGACATGAAAATTTTATAAAAACTTCTTGGCTTTGTTTATTTCTTCTTCTCTTATGTATTGAAGACAAAAAGCTCCTGCTAAATATTAATTCTAAGGATTTACTCACTAAAGTTATGATGGAGATAGAATTCAAAAATAGAGAGGTTTTATAGCAGTGTTGGGAAATAAACTCAAACTTGGTTGTTTTGGTCTAAATCAGGAGTTGGCAACTTTCGGCACTCTAGACATTGTTTATACAACCATAATGCTGGTAGAGCTTTAGTGGAGATGTAGTCCACAACATCTAGAGTGCTGAAGGTTGGTTACTGCTGGTCTAAATTCTCAACTTCCTTCTATATGTAAAGCAGTGCATTATATGGGGGAATAAAGGTTCCGGTACTCTCCTATTCTGGGGGAATAAAGGTTCTGGTACTCTCCTATATTAGAGGAATAAAGGTTCCGGTACTCTCCTATGCTGAGGGAATAAAGGTTCCGGTACTCTCCTATACTGGGGGAATAAAGGTTCCTGTACTCTCCTATACTGGGGGAATAAAGGTTCCGGTACTCTCCTATACTGGGGGAATAAAGGTTCCGGTACAGTCCCATACTGGGGGAATAAAGGTTCCACTACTCTCGTATGCTGGGGGAATAAAGGTTCCGGTACTCTCCTATACTGGGGGAATAAAGGTTCCTGTACTCTCCTATATTACAGGAATAAAGGTTCCGGTACTCTCCTATGCTGAGGGAATAAAGGTTCCGGTACTCTCCTATACTGGGGGAATAAAGGTTCCGGTACTCTCCTATACTGGGGGAATAAAGGTTCCGGTACTCTCCTATACTGGGGGAATAAAGGTTCCGGTACAGTCCCATACTGGGGGAATAAAGGTTCCGGTACTCTCCTATGCTGGGGGAATAAAGGTTCCTGTACTCTCCTATATTAGAGGAATAAAGGTTCTGGTACTCTCCTATGCTGGGGGAATAAAGGTTCCGGTACTCTCCTATGCTGGGGGAATAAAGGTTCTGGTACTCTCCTATACTGGGGGAATAAAGGTTCCGGTACTCTCTTAAATGGGGGGGTGGGGAGAAGGGAGGAATAAAGGTCCCGTTACTCTCGTATACTGTGGGAATAAAGGTTGCGGTACTCTCCTAAACTCGAGGAATAAACGTTCCGGTACTCTCCTATACTGGGGGAATAAAGGTTCATGTACTCTCCTATACTGGGGGAATAAAGGTTCCGGTACTCTCCTATACTGGGGGAATAAAGGTTCCGGTAATCTCCTATACTGGGGGAATAAAGGTTCCGGTACTCTCCTATACTGGGGGAATAAAGGTTCCGGTACTCTCCTATACTGGGGGAATAAAGGTTCCGGTACTCTCCTATACTGGGGGAATAAAGGTTCCGGTACTCTCCTATACTGGGGGAATAAAGGTTCCGGTACTCTCCTATACTGGGGTAACAGAGGTTCCAGTACTCTTCTATATTGGGGTAACAGAGATTCCAGTACTGGGGGAATAAAGGTTCCGGTATTCTCCTATACTCTCCTATACTGGGGGAATAAAGGTTCCGGTACTCTCCAATACTGGGGCAATAAAGGTTCTGGTACTCTCCTATACTGGGGGAATAAAGGTTCCGGTATTCTCCTATACTGGGGGAATAAAGGTTCCGGTACTCTCCTATACTGGGGGAATAAAGGTTCCGGTACTCTCCCATACTGGGGGAATAAAGGTTCCGGTACTCTCCGATACTGGGGAAATAAAGGTTCCGGTACTCTCCTATGCTGGGGGAATAAAGGTTCCTGTACTCTCATATGCTGGGGGAATAAAGGTTCCGGTACTCTCCTATACTGGGGTAATAAAAGTTCCGGTACTCTCCTATACTGGGGGAATAAAGGTTCCTGTACTCTCCTATGCTGGGGGAATAAAGGTTCCGGTACTCTCCTATACTGGGGGAATAAAGGTTCCGGTACTCTCCTATACTGGGGGAATAAAGGTTCCGGTACTCTCCTATACTGGGGGAATAAAGGTTCCGGTACTCTCCTATACTGGGGGAATAAAGGTTCCGGTACTCTCCTCTACTTGGGGAATAAAGGTTCCGGTACTCTCCTACACTGGGGGAATAAAGGTTCCGGTACTCTCCTATACTGGGAGAATAAAGGTTCCGGTACTCTCCTATACTGGGGGAATAAAGGTTCCGGTACTCTCCTATACTGGGGGAATAAAGGTTCCGGTACTCTCCTATACTGGGGGAATAAAGGTTCCTGTACTCTCCTATACTGGGGGAATAAAGGTTCCTGTACTCTCCCATACTGGGGAAATAAAGGTTCCGGTACTCTCTTATACTGGGGGAATAAAGGTTACAGTACTCTCCTATACTGGGGGAATAAAGGTTCCGGTACTCTCCTATACTGGGGGAATAAAGGTTCCGGTACTCTCCTATACTGGGGGAATAAAGGTTCCTGTACTCTCCCATACTGGGGAAATAAAGGTTCCGGTACTCTCTTATACTGGGGGAATAAAGGTTACAGTACTCTCCTATACTGGGGGAATAAAGGTTCCGGTACTCTCCTATACTGGGGGAATAAAGGTTCCAGTACTTCCTATACTGGGGGAATAAAGGTTCCAGTACTTCCTATACTGGGGGAATAAAGGTTCCTGTACTCTCCCATACTGGGGAAATAAAGGTTCCGGTACTCTCTTATACTGGGGGGAATAAAGGATCCGGTACTCTCCTATACTGGGGGAATAAAGGTTCCGGTACTCTCCCATACTGGGGGAATAAAGGTTCCGGTACTCTCCTATACTGGGGGAATAAAGGTTCCAGTGCTCTCCTATACTGGGGGAATAAAGGTTCCGGTACTCTCTTATACTGGGGGAATAGAGGTTCCA